TGTTGAGAGGGGAGTGGGGAACAGAAGAGATTATAGCTTTATCTCCACTGTTCTCATTTTTTTTTAAAGGAGAAAAGGTTAGATTTCAACATAAAAGAGTCAAAACATAAAAATTTTACTGTATTTATAAACTTTGAAGGAGAATTATTAACATGTCCAGTCTTGGAGGGAAAATAATTTTAGGAGCTTTCCCCATACAATGTGGCCTCATCTCCATTCCTTTCACAATCTTTCTCAACTCCTGAGTTTTAAAGCCATTACTATTGAATTACAGCATTGAGAAATAATGCGATCATCAGACCTCAGAAATTCAGGTAACCAAACCAGTTTTTAGCATTTGTGTTTCCCTCCAGAAGAGGGTTCTCAGTTATCAACTTTCAGCAGCTCTTAAAGGAAATACCGATTAGAATCAATTAACACAGAGACTGAGCACCTAATGTGTTTTTAAAATGCTCCAGCTCACTCAAGATTATAGCAACAGATACTCCATAGAGATTATATAATTCAGCTGCACACTTTCATTTTACAAGGATGTGCAATTTACCTAGGATTTGGTGGCATCTTTAGGGTACTAGATAGTTCAGTGGTACACCCAGGTGTGTGGTTAGGTCCTACTATCCCCACTGGGCTTAAGTGGCAGAAGCTGTTCATGCGGCAGTTCACACTTCACCTCACATGACTTTTCTGATAGGCTTACAGCTAGTTGGAGTGGAACTGGCACTTCAGCTGAAGCATAGGTAAGGCACAAAACGTTGCTTACAATGACCTACCAATTCAATTGTTTTCCTGTAAGTCCCACCATTTTGATATCTTCAGCATGCCATTCCAGGAATTTCTCCTGGCCACATATACTGTGCTCTCTCCTCTACTGTGTGATACCATCACAAGAAAAAATGCATCCTGTATGTGTTTATCTTTGCTGCAAATATTACCAATGGGTGTGGTGGAACCCACACGGGGCAACATTATGTAAACTCTTAAGACAATCAAACACCTTTAAAGAGAGCCATCACTGGGTCTTGGAAATCGGGACCTTAGCTTCAGGGAAACCAAGGTCAATTGGCAAAACAAGCCTTTAAAGCAGCGGTTCTCAACCTGTGGGTCGCAACCCCTTTTGGAGTCAAACCACCCTTTCACAGGGGTCGCCTGATTCATAACAGTAGCAAAATTAGTTATGAAGTAGCAACGAAAATAAGTTTATGGTTGGGGGGTCACCACCACATGAGAAACTATGAGAGGGTTGCTGCATTAGGAAGGTTGAGAACCACTGCTCTAAGCTTGTGGGCAGCCATCTAAGGTGCAACTATGGTCTCTTGCCATCTGAAGGAGAGAGAGAATCATAGTGAAAATTGAAAGAGACGTAGAAACAACTAATCCTCTGGACTAAAGGAACTCACAGATAGCAGTCTCCACAACCTTGAGCTCAGAAGTAATGGGGGCCCAGCTACTACTACCAACTACTCCAAAGAGGTTCACATTAGGTCCTTGAGGGAGGAGAACATTGTTGAACAGATCTCAAAACCATACGAGGCCAAGCTTGCTGGTCAGACAGTCTGGTGGAATTCCTGAGACTGTGGCCTGATCATCCTTTAGTTCTAGAACTAAACTCACTCTCATGTGAGAACAATCAAGCAGTTAAGATTGAAAGGGCAGCATTCATGCCAGGTAAAAGTTCAGTAGGAAAGTAGTAGACACAGGAACACAGAGAGGAAGGGGGGTAAGCGATGGTACAGTGAGGAGATTGCAATGGATGAGTTGAAACAAAATATGAATGGATTGTTTAATGTAAACACGATCTGCTCTGTAAGCCTTCACCTAATTCACAAGGGTTTAAAAAAAAAAAGAAAGAAAAGAAATAGTACATCTTTACTATTAGGCAATACAACTTGTTTTATTATAATGTTATTACATAGGGTTTTTTCCTTAAGAAGTGACTTTTGAATGGTGTTCACTATCCTAAGAGGAATAAAAGATTGAATTAATTAAATTTCCAAGTGTGAAAGATGCTAGTGAAAGAATTTTTTAAAAAGGGCAGAGCCAGAATTCCTTATCCACAAAGCTTTGTAAACAGTTTTAGTGAGAAAAAAAAATCTGATCTGACATTCAAATCTAGATAGTCTTCATTTATCAGTTAGTGGAGCTATTCATATAGTCCCCATATAAATATTAGTCTGCTTGAAAATGGAGTGGTTTCGCAGACTCTTTCAGGAGTTTTAAATAGAATATTTTATATGTACCTTTTATTTTTCTAAAGACTTATTCCAAATTACCATTCATCTTACCTTTTAAAATAGATTTGTCAAGTATTTCCCCACACTGTTGGACACAGTGATTCTATCCAATCTGAGGTAAGCCCAGGAAATAATTTTTGCTCCATAAAACGTCCCAAGGTAAAGGCACGCAGCCAGGAAAAGAGAAGACACGTTAGAAGAGCTGTAGATGTAACACTGCATAAAAATGGGCACACGATCTCGTTGTAAGACACTGATGATATAATTGCCCATATGCATTGCTTCCATGGGTGGTACAAACAGGGAATGTGCTGGCTACTAAATGCAAAGGTGAGAGGCCCAGGAATACCCAGAGGTTCGGGATTACTGAAAAGCAGCCACTGACAACCCTTTGAAGCACAGCTCTAACACAGATGGCGAACATGAGTTGGAAGTGACCTGATGGCAACTGATTACAGTTCCACTGGATCCATGATGGCCGCATGCAGCCCTATTCCTAATAGCGGTTTGCCTGAAGGTGCGTGCCACCCGTTAAAGCTTTGTTTAGGTACAGTGCTTAGAAATATCCTTATTCAGGAATTCTAAACCTAGTTCAACACTGAAATATCCCACAGAGTTTTCTAAAAATACCCATACATGGGCCTCGCCTACACTTTCTCATTTAGTATATCTCGATGAGTCTTGGCAATGCTGAACTCTAGGTGATTCTAATGCAAAATTCTGGGAAAAAAGGAGAAAAAAAAAAAGAAATGGGTAGCAGGTGAACAGGGCACTAACCCACCCAAGGGGAGGGTATTGTTTAAATCTCCACAGGGAGAGACCAGACCAGACGTCAACCTGGTGCTCCAAGATGTGAATGCAACATACCAGCACGAAGCAGGGAACCAATAGAGAGGTTTGAGGGGCTGGCCCCAATCCCAACTACATGGACAGCTGCCCCTCCCCCCAGAATTTACTTCAGAGAACAGCACTGAAGCTAAGCACAGGGAGAGGGACATGTCTGATCAGAGCACATGGGAGCAAATGAAGGGGAAGGAAGAGAGAGTGGAGTACATTCTGGCCCACCAAGCCTTGATGATGATATCCCTGCTCAGAGGAGAGGACCATATGGCTGGCTCCACTATGAGACAGGACATCCCTCAGTGACCCACAGCCCTACAGCCCAGACACTGTGGGAATTGCGCCTGATCTGACCACACCACACTGAGGAAAACACTAAGGGCGTGCAGCAAAGGGAGCAGAGCAAGGAAGTCCTGAGGGAGTACCAAAACCAGACTTTGGGCCAAGGGCGTGGCACTCCATAAGACTTGACCGGAAAACACTCCTAAATGTCAAGTAAAAGACCTTGAACTATTTACAGGCTTTTCTTTTTTTGTCATTGGTTTTTTGTTGTTGTTGCTTTGTTTTGCTGTCATGTTTTTTTGTGTATATTATTATCTCTGCAGGTCTATGTAGATAAGATAGGCTGGATAAACAATCTGGAGCAGAAAACAACAATGGGACCAATGGTTCTGGGGGAACATGTTAGAGGGGTAGGTGGGGGAAAAGAAGTGGTGTTAACAAACCCAGGGACAAGGGAACAACAAGTGATCTAAGATCAATGGTGAGGAATGTGTAAGAAGCCTGGTAGGGATTGATCAAGGGTAATGTAACCAAGAGGAATTACTGAAACCCAAATAAAGGCTGATCATAGTAGTGGGACAAAAGGAAAGTAAAAGGAAATAGAGGAAAGAACTAGGAGGCAAAGGGCATTTATAGAAGTCTAAATACAGGCATGTAAATATATTTATATATGATGATGGGGAAATAGACCTATGTGTATGTATTTATAGGTTTAGTATTAAGGCAGCAGATGGACATTGGGTCTCCACTCAAGTACTCACTCAATGCAAGAACACTTTGTTCTATTAAACTGGCATTCCATGATGCTCACCAACATGATCGCTGAAGACAAATGTGTGCATAAGCAAATGTGGTGAAGAAAGCTGATGGTGCCCAGCTATCAAAAGATACAGCATCTGGGGTCTTAAAGGATTGACGATAAACAAGCAGCTATCTAGCTCAGAAGCAACAAAGCCCACATGGAAGAAGCGCACCAGCCTATGTGATCACGAGGTATCATCAAAGGGGTCAGATATCAGGCGTCAAAGAACAAAAAAAACCCCATATCATTGTGAATGAGGGGGAGTGCAGATTGGGGACCCAAAGCCCATCTGTAGGCAACTAGACAGCCCCTTACAGAAGGGTTGCAGAGAGGAGACCAGCCAGTCAGGGTACAGTGTAGCAACGATGAAACATACAACTTTCCTCTAGTTCTTAAATGCTTCTTCCCCCTTCACTATCATGACCCCAATTCTACCTTACAAATCTGGCTAGACCAGAGGATGTACACTGGTACAGATAGGAACTGGAAACACAGGGAATCCAGAACAGATGATCCCTCAGGACCAGTGGTGAGAGTGGCGATACCGGGAGGGTGAAGCGAAGGTGGGGTGGAAAGGGAGAACCAATTACAGGGATCTACATAAAACCTCCCCCCTGGGGGATGGACAACATAAAAGTGGGTGAAGGGAGATGTCGGACAGTGTAAGATATGACAAAATCATAATAATTTATAAATTATCAAGGGTCCATAAGGCAGAGGGAGCGGGGAGGGTGGGGGATGAGGAGCTGATACCAAGGGCTCAAGTAGAAAGCAAATGTGTTGAGAATGATGATGGCAACAGATGGACAAATGTGGTTGACACATGGATGTATGTATGGATTGTGATAAGAGTTGTATGAGCTCCCAATAAAATTATTTTTTTAATGTTTTTTTAAATCCCATTATGAAGCTTCCTGCACTCCAGATAAGCTAATCAGAATCTTTGGGGATGAGGCCCAGACAGACAAGATTTTGTTGTTATTTGTAACGATTTAGAGTCCTACTGGAGTTGTGGGCCAGGCTGCTACCGAAAGGGCAGAAGTTCAAACTGACCAGCTGTTCCAAAGAAGCAGCAGCTGTCTGTTCCTATAAGGGATTATTTTTTCAGAAACTTTATTCAGGGTAACTATGAGGTGGAACTAACTTGGTGACAGTGGCCCCAGTGACTGCAATGTGCAACCAGAGTTGAAAACCACTGAGTCAATTAGCTTCGGGATTAGAGTGTTAACTGTTTTTCTTTTTCGTTCCTGAACCAGGTCCATCCTGTATCATCACTGTAGTAGGCCTGAATTACTAATAAATAGTTCCAAACTTTATATATTCCAATGGTACAAAAGCGGTAGGGAGGAGCCCTGGTGGTGCAGTAGTTATGAGTTGGGTCGTGGTCCTAAAGGTCCACAGTTCAAAACAACCAGCTGATCTGAGGAAGAGAGGCTTTCTACTCCCCAAAGCGGTATGGATAGAAAGGTATGAGAGAGAGGAATGGTGTTTTGGTGGCTACCCCTATCTTTCGAAGGAAATTGCAGTTTGGAAATTTGGCCCCAGATGGTGAAAGGAAGCTGGGAGAAACGTCAGTTCTGTTTCCACTGGTGCTGCTGGCTGCCTCTCTGTGCCAGACTGAAGACCCCAGGCCATCGGGAAACAAGGCCTCTATACCACTGAAAGCAAAGAGAAACCGATCTTTGGAAAACTGAATACAAACAAACCTACACTGTCTACATCTGAAAGAAAAGTCTCTGTTTGGCAAAAGAACGAGTGGGCCTGGATCCTGGAACAGCCAATTGGGCATCTTTTGTAATTCTGAACAAAATCAAGGAAGGACCCAACACCCCTCACTGACAAAGCATTCAGTCAGCAGTGTATTAGACAGCTCTGTGAGTTTCTTGCAGAAAATGGTTATGCTTCTAGTATATTCATGAAATCTCTACAAACTCCACGTGCAAAAGTCTTTCTAAAGATCTTTACTTTTCTGTACCCTTCATAGGAACTTCCTGATACAAAGTTTGAAGAAGTTGTTCCCAGAATCTTTAAGGATCTTGGGCATCCTTTTGCATTGCCCAAAAGCTCCAGGTATACCGTATAGGCCCTCACTCATGGTCTCACATTGTGGTGTGGCAAATAGACTGCATTAAGTTACCATATATACTTGTGTATAAGACGAGTTTTTCAGCACATTTTTAAATGCAGTTTTTGTGGCAAAATTAGGTGCCTTGGCTGCTACTTGGGTTAGCTTAAACTCGAGTGTATATAGTATACCCTGCCATGAACAGAAGCTCACCTTCATTTGATAATGTTCAGCCTTGGGGAAGAGAAATTGAAGATGGAATTATGCATAATAAGTTGTTTCTGGACCACGCCATAAAATGCTATGTGAGTTTTATGACTGGTGCTGACAGTTTTGAAGAGATGAACACAGAGTTGCAGCCAAAATTGAAGGATTTATTTAATGCACATGCTTTCAAGCAGCAAAAAAGCAAGGCATTGAATGAGCAGATTGCAAAATTGAAGCAACAGAAGGAAAAAGAACCAAATCACGTAGAGCTATTGAGAAATCTGCTTTCATCCTTGTAAGATATTAAAAAATACCAGACAGACAGGAGTAATATGGAATCTCACCCAGTCCTTCTTAACCAGAAACTGAATGGTCTTGATGAAGATACTGCTTGCGAAGAGCTAGAACGTGAAACAATAAAGCAGGAGAGCATGACACTACAGAATCCTGGTGATCACCAGAAGTACTCAGTTGTGGACAGAGAATAAGTCATGAAAGAAATGAATGGCAGCAAATTACTAACAAATTACCCAAGGACCTTCACATTGAAGAACAGCAGGTATGCACTGAGGAACTAAAACGTGCCAGGAGCAAATAGAAGATTGAAGCAGTTACACAAGTTGGCTCAAAAATTAAAACTTATCCCTAAAGGTACCAGGACTTCCAAAGTATATGACTTTGAAATTAAGTTTAATCCCGAGGCTGGCACCAAATGCCTTGTCAAATACAAGATCCAAGTTTATGTACCACTCAAGGAATTCCTGAATCAAACTGAAGAATTTAATACAGCTCCAAATACAAAGGTGGGTTTAGCGGATACCTTAGCAACAAGTGAATAACACAGTAACAGAGGGCAAGAGAAGTGTGAGAACTCTGAAAGAAGAAGTTAAAAATGTCGATGACCTTCACCAATACAAAGTTAAGGACGCTGAAGAAGAGGACCCAAACATGTGCCAATGAGCTTGAGTCCTTGGAGAACCACAAGCACCTGCGGAGAGTGGTGTGAACGGGGCCTCGGGGAAGCAATGCATGAACAGCTACCATTCGGAGGGATCCCAGGGAGTCGTGCAGAGCACCCGTGAGAAAAGACAAGACGTAGGAAATAACTGCAGTGTCTTTTAGAAACGGCTGCTGCCCACATAGGGTCTGTGGAGAAACAGCTCGCGGAGCAGATGGCTAAAACTGATCAGGAATATGAGGCATACATGCCTGAAGATCTCTTAGAAAATAGTGGAGAGATTGGAGACCAGAAGAAAGCTGCTCTACTTAAGGCTTCCAATGAATTAAAACGATACGTTGCTTATCTAAGAAAGAACTTAATTAATAGTGTACATTTTTTGATTATTTTCTAAGTTTGAAAAATCTCTCTAACATAGCCTATACCCATCCTTATCATGAAGTCACATGAACATATCTTATCAAGCCTGTGGAGTATTTTTATATGTTTTATAAATCTAGTTTGTTAAGTTAAAACATGTATGCCTTGGAATGGTAATAAGCACTCGAGTTGTTATCTTTAGATGTGTAATTAGAGCTAATAAAATTGAATCCGTTAAAAAAAGAGGTAGGTCGGGAAAGGATATCAGAAACGCTTTAAAATATTTTTAGTAAAATAATTTGTACCAGGACAAAACCCCTTCAGAATGGAGTAAATCATAGCGAAGAACAAAACAAAAGCCAATTCCCTTTAGCTGCAGCTGCAACGTAGAGAACAACTTGGAAGGTACATAACAGGGAGTCAGAACATCTTCCAAGCAATGGCCAGTACAGCAAATAAAGACACCACACATTTCCAGTCATTCTTTAATACTTTCGGAGGCCAGTGCTAAACCAGATTCCTGTACACATTTCAAAGGATGCCAGAAAATATATTTTAAAATATTAAAATCAAGACCATTCCTGCTCAGCGAGCAAATGAAAGAGAAAGGTGCGCATTTTAGAAGACACAAGATAAGTCTCTTTAACGTTTACCTACACATTCTAATGGCCGTTTGAAAAAGACATTTACTTTTTAAAAATTACTAGCTCTGAGAGGCAGGAGAAAAAATGAAGGATAGCCAATACAGCTCAAGAGGAACCAAACTCAACAACTGTGAACAGAAAAGTCATGGGAACATCCCAAGGTCTTACACTTACTTGGGCTTCTAGACACATCAGTTTATTAAAACAGATATATGTGAGTCAGAATGGCGTTTCTCTGACCCAACTGAGGGCCATTTCCAAATGTCATCCTTACATCCTTTTACTCTTTACATCAGTTTAAACAAACCAAACCAAACCAAACCAAATGCATCTGTATCTACCAGATATCGGAAAGAAGCCCTTGTGGTGCAAACAGTGTAGTGCCAGCTGTGAGCACAAAGGTGGAGGATTGGACCCACCCAGTGGCTGTGTAGTAGGAAGATACTGGCGATCTACTTCCGTAAAGATCACAATCGAGGGAAAACAAACCAACCCTATAAAGCTGCTCTGCTTCATCACAGGACTCCATGGCATATTCAATTCTGACTCTGCTCCAGTAGCTACGAGCTCTTCGTTTCAGGAGGGAGACCCCACCAGTTTCAGCGCTAAGCTTCACTCCCTGGGCCATACACCAGAAGCAACTGTTGGGAGCAGGAGAGCAACAAGGACAGAAGAAAACAGATTCACGGCATTGTTGTCAAGAATAGGTTTCCCTGCTATGTGTTTGACACCGCTTGTTGGGCTGTTGACCACCATGCCTGTGCTTTCCTCCAAACCTAAAATGGAAAGGAAGAAAATAAGGTAAACAAATCCAAATGGCTTGATTAAAAAAAGAACTAGCTTCTCTCTTCTAAAAAGCACAGTTTATTAGATTTTCAACCACTTGTAAAACGGGTTTACTAGATAATTTACATTATAGGTGGAACCTTCGATTACAAATGACTTCTTGGATAAGGTGACCAGACATCCCGCTTCTGGCGGGACAGTCCCGACTTTTAACAATTTTTCC